GGTGCTGGGGGATTGAACCGCGGTCCCTGATGCCTTGCCAAGCTTGTTCCAAGTAGGTGCTTTAGACCACTGAGCCATCTCTCCAGCCCCTACGGTTTTGCTTTGCATCATCTCTGGCTCACATCGTATGGGACTGCTCCACCGCGTTTCCGGAAAAGCTGCTCCTGTGGAGCACGGAGGGAAGCATTTGGGGACTGAACAGGTTTCTATTTATAAAGCGTGACTATGGTCAGTCCAACAGGCCAAAGCCTGTATTTGCAATTAAGGTCTTAAATATCAGCCAAATAAAGGATCTTTCAGCACCTGTGTACAGGAATGTGGGTTCCTTAGAACCAAAAAAAGTACTGTGGTAAAAGACATGCTGCCATCAACGCACTGAACGCACTCCTCCCTCCCCTCCATCATGATCCCAGCATCCTTGCCCCTTTCTGAAGCACTTCTGGAGGTTCTCCTGCATGTGTCTTCAGGAGTAATAAAGATAGGATGGGTGCAGCTGCTGAGCGCCAGCCAACGGAGCAGCACTCTGGAGAAGGGCGGCGCGGCCCCACTCACCTCCGCCGGCCAGGACTTCGCGCTGTTCCTAAAGTCAAAATGACTATGAAAGGTTAACGTTTTGAATGGATTGAGCACACTCAAGGTAGCCACAACAGCGCAATAAAGACACTTCAAAAAGGAGTACAAACTTATGGGCTATGTGTGCTTGAAATGAGGGAGTCATAATTGGAGGGGGTTAATAGCAGTATGTGTTTTACTGTAATAAAATTTTGAGAAAAAAATTTAAACATTCACCCTATGTTTTCAATCATACCAAGTACAGATTATACATTCCAAATCTGAAAATTCAAAGTCTGAATTGTTCTGAAGTTTGCAACTTTTTCAGTGAGACGTGACAATAAATGTTTCCTACTTTGGAGCATTCTGAATTTTTTGTTTAGGGACGCTAAAGTCTATGCAAATATTCCAGAACATAAACACTCTGAAACCTCAAAGACTTCCAATCCCAAGCACTCTGGTCAAGGGATAGCCAAGGCTCACTGCAACACGAATTGCACCACCTCAAGCTCCTGGCGAGACTGCTAAGCCGCCAGCAGCAGCAGGCCTGCACACCGGAGCTGCCTGAGCCTCCCAGAGGCTCACCTGCTGACTCAGCCCAGCCAGCATCGCCGCCAGAGGACGCTGCGGGAGCAGCCCACAGGAACAGCCCAGCTGTTACAAAGCTTTTAATATTTAATCTATACATTTTTGGAGTTTGACACTCCAGAGGCCTTCCATTGCTCAACAGTCCCCAAAGCGTGGCTTATGAACTCCTGAGCATCTCTGACACTTTTCAGAGAGGCCAGCGACGTACCAACACTGCCTCCACA